GTAGTATGTTTGTGAGTGTGTGTGTTTGGTTATTGATGATGATTTTGGATTTTGGTTTATAAAGATGATATTATTGTATTTGTTATATTTTTTGTTGTTTTTTTTTTATTTTTTTGAATATGGGTGGTGGTGGTCGGTATGTGAAATATATGTTTATTGTTATTGATTATATTTTTGTTGTTGTTTTTATTGTTATTTTATATAATGGTGAAAAAATATGTTTTATTTTTTATTTTTAGTTTGTTGTTGGTATGAGTTATTTTTATTTTTTTTTATTTTGTTTCTTCTTTTTCCTGTGTAAAAACAAATTTGTTGTTGGTTGTATTGTATGTTACTTTTTTTGTTTTTAGTATTTTTTTTCTTTAAATATTTTTATTTGTATTGTTTGGTTTTTTGCATATTTTTTTATTATTATTATTGATTTCATTTGTTTTGTGTTATTATTATTGTTGTTGTAATTATGGTTTGTTTGTTTTTTGCATTCCTTGTTCCGTTAAATATCGGTTGGTTGGTTGGTTTTGGTTGTCGACTGTCATCTTAAAGAGTTTTTTGTTTTGTTTAAATAATGATTTGTTTCCTTTTCATCCATTCTTCCTCATATCAGTTTTTTTTTTTGTTTTCTTGTTTTTGTTTTTTATAAAATTATTTATTTTTTTATGAATAGAGGTGTTTGGTTTTTTGTTTATATCTTATTTCGTCTTCCATGCTTTCTTCATTCCTTATGCTTTCTTAAGTAAAAATTTTATTTTTTGTTGCTTTTTTCTTTTTGTTTTATTTTAAAATGTTTCATTTTGAAAATATTTCATTCTTTTCGTTATTGGATTCGGTTTCCATATTTGTTTCCATTGTTTGTTTTGTTTTATTTTATTTTTTGGTTATCGGTTTAGATTTTGAATTTTTTGTTATTGTTGCAGTTTAGTTGGCCAGTTCTGTTCAGTTGTATGTAATAATATTTATGTATGTATATATGTAGTGGTATATGGTTGTTTGGTTTTGAATGCAATGTGAGAAAGGGTTGGAGGCGTAGTTTTTTGTGATTAACAAATGTTCGCATTTTTATATGTACCATTGTAATTGTTATTATCATTTTATAGCATTGACACCGAAGAACTCATTGTGAAAATTGTTTTTTTTGATCAAACACTATTCGATATAATTTGGAAAATGTAGGCATATTGTATTTCAAATACTTTAAAGATATAACTTTGTTTCAAATTTTTAAGACAAGAAAGAGTCAACTTGAAATGGAAATTAGAGACGGATTTCGAAGTATTTTCTGATCCGTCAAAAATAACCCATAGTCTAAAAATACTGAATAACAATTTGACTGTGATTGTCTGTTTGTAACGGTCATTCTGAATAAATCAATTTAAAAAGAAAAATACAATACTTCAAAAATTCAAATTTAAGTGCCTTTAAAAATTTACAAAGTCTTGAAAAATATTAAATTTTTCTAGGTATTTCAAATAAGCAAACCTCCATTTCCCTACATATTCGAATAGTGTTTTTCATAATGTCCATTACTAATGGGAAGTTTTCTTTTTTTTTTTTTTTAAACAACATTTAAACGTTTTGTACACACAATACACAAACAAAAAAAAATACATTAAAATAATATTATAAATTGAGATCAAATTTGTTAAATCTTACTTAAAACAAATAAAGGCATTAAAATGTTATTTTAAAAAAATATATCGAGTGAATTTCAATTGGAAAATGTATGTATTTATATCACAATTAATATTATTCTTATTATTATTTTAAATCACATTTTTGGCAATAGTAAAGAGAGTGAGCTTGAATGGAATAATTTTGTATTTTTAACATGTTTTATCATTATTTGTATATACAAAAGAGGCATTCAAATATGTTATAGAAAGCATTATAAATAAATAGTGTTCTGGTTTGGTTGGTAGTCCTAGTGGGTATTGTTTAGAATTAAACAAATTAAAATGTGGGACCCAGTAGCCTTCATAGATCAAGGAATTATTACAAATCTAAATTACATTCTGCAATGCCGTTTAGATCTGCAAATTAATTGCATCTATATGATAAAGCATATAAAAATAATATGGCTAGACATGGTACTGCAGGTCAGTATCTCTATATTGTGTAGCTTGGAGAAACTTTTGTTATATTAAAACCAGTTAGCGGAGAAGTAAAGACGGACGGGCCGACCATACGATACCCAACACAACTACCACGGAACTCTTACTTTCTGCGGATGTTTATTTCGAGCCTGGACAATATTTCGTGATATTTGCACCCTCTTGACCGATTAGAGATCAACAGCACCTCTTCCTTACACTGACATATTTTCTGAATATACCTGGAGTTGGATTTATAAATATAGTTAGGTTGTGCAAAGTTGGTTTTAATCGGACATTTCATTCGCTCAATATTAAATTTATAAATATTGAAAATTTGGACCCATTGTGGGGGAGATAGGTACCAAAAGGAGTGGACTAATGGGTCTTATCCTCAGATTTAATCTAAACTCTTAAAGACAATAGGTTGTGCAAAGATTTGGTTCAAATCGGACATTGCATTCGCCTGATACAGGATTGGTCCCATCGCCTGAACCCTTTTTGGGGGAGGTACCAGAAGGAGTGGACTAATGGGTACCATCTTCGGACTTAACATAGGGTTGGTAAAGACCATTGGTTGCACAAAGTTTGGTTCAAATAGGATAGTCCTTTCGCAGGTTATTATAAAATTAATTTTGGCACAATTTTGTGGGGAACTACCAGAAGGAGTGGACCGATATTCCCCATCTTCGAACTTGAAGTAAGTTTGGAAGAAATAATAAGATGTGCAAGGTTAGGTTAGGGATGTACGATTGTTAGTGCAAGATGTGCAAAGTTTGAATGAAATCGATTATTCTCTTCGAGAGTTATCGTGCGCATCAGCCAGCCAGCCAGACAGACGAACAACGGACGGACAATTGTAAATCGGCTTCAAATTTTCTGAAACGGATTTGGTACAAAGAAATATGGGGTCTGCAAAACAAAATTTCGATGAGGCACATGTTCACCGTATCAAAGTGTATATACCCTCATTTGCCATCAGGCTGCGGGTATAAATATAGAATACAGGCACAATTTTGACCATTTTATGTGGGAGATACCAGAAGGAATGGGCTGATATTCCCCATATTCCAACTTAAACTAAGTTTGGAAGAAATATTATGATGGACAAAGTTTTGATTAAATCGGTTATTCCCTTCGAGAGTTATCGAAGGGAATAATCGGCACCAGCCAGCCAGACAGACGGTTATTTGTAAATCGGCTCCAAATTGGGGTCTAAAACTAATATTTCGATGAGGCATTAGCTTTAAGGCTGAGGGTATAAATATAGAATACACTTGGCTCAAGATAACACTTGTAAAATGTAACTTGAATATATTTTTTACTTTTCAATTTTATTTATATTGAGGCCGTTTATTAGAGGACACATTTCTTGAATTTCAAATATATAACATACATTATTTTGCTGTTATCCTGAAATTGTTAGAGGCGCCAAGTATGTTCAGAAACTCTCCACATTTTATATTCACTATCAAACTAATTTAATTTTATATGCCTCCTTCAATATTTAGTTTTTCTTCCTATTCAAACCCTAATTATTTAAATTATTTGTATAAAGACATAACTCCCTTGCCGGGATTTTGATTTCAAAAAAAATCTCTTTATGTTTCCATTCAACCACCTCTTCAAATTTCTAATTTTTTTTTTTAATTTGTCACAGTTTAGTTTCGCTTTATAAATCACAGTGATTTGTTTTTTTACGAAAAGTTTTGAAATTCATAATGGATTTTTAAATTAACATTTTAGTGCCTTATTAAGTGTGAGTGTATTTGTTTATACAACATATATGTATATTAGATTTATAATCCATATTTTTTTAGCTTAAATATTGAAATAAGTATTCCTTATCATTTTATAAAAAAACAATAACAATTGTAGTGTTTTGAAAAGAAAAATAAAATTAATTCAAAGAGAATTCATAATTTATATAAAAAAGGATAATTGAGAGAAATTTACAGTCAAAAATTGGCTTAGAATACTATTCGACTGTTCGTTAGCAGAGCATTTTGTGTGTTCCTGTGTTTAAATATGTTATCTTCATTATTATACAAACCTAAGGTTTGTAAAAAGTTTTGAAACAATATTACTCAGTAATATTTTCATACATATTACAGAATCCGCTCACCATCAAATTTATCAACATGCGGCGGGGAGATGATGCTCGACTTTGGGATACTTAAAATAAAGTATACCAACTTTTTTGGTAATAATATCCAATGGTAAATAATGAGATCAGGATGTAGTCTTAAAAATTTTGAAACTACCACATGAACATTTACAATGAGATTTAGTTTGAGGTTATGTTACTTCGAATGATCCTATTGTTGCTGATTTGAATTGAAGTCATTTACATACGAGGATTTTCTTTCCGTTTTTGCTTCGAGCTGTTGTTGTTGTCAAACACCAACCTCTTCTTTGATTGTTCCAAAAAATGTTGTTGCTGTTGTTCGTGTAGAAGTGGATAACGATGGTGATGGCGATGACGATGTTGCATCTATATGCATTTGCAGAATTTTAGGTACACATTCGCTTACTTCTGCTGTTGTTGTTGTGGGTTTAGCTATTGATATTTTATGGGTGGCCACAAATTGCTTTGCTGCTGATTCCATTGCTGTTGTTGTTGCTGTAGCTGCTGCTGATGATAACGATGTTGTTGTATTGTAGAAAGAGTAATAGTTATGATTATAGTTGTTGTAGTTGTTATCCGGTACTATTGTTGTTGCTATTTCAGTCATACTGATATTATTAGCATGAAAATTAGACGAAGAAGAAATTCTCCCGCTTGTTATTGTTTGTTGTTGCTGCTGTTGATAGTAATGCTGCTGGTGGTAGTTGCTATTGTTGTTGTTGGTATTATTATTATTACTGTGGTTGTGATGATTGTTGTGGTGGTGTTGTTGTTGGTGATTTTGATGATGATGGTGGTGGTGGCGACGATGATGATGATAGTGATAGTGATAGTTTTTGTTGCTGCTGCTGTTGTTGTTGTTGCTGATGATGCTGCTGTTCTGAAATTTTGTCTTTGATTTGGCGCTACATTACAAACTAACCTGCTGCATTTTATCAAAATCTAAACATGGCCTGTGCGGCCTCTGCAGCCGCTGTGAATTGTGTGGTGTGCGCATGGGTCGGCGTCTAGGTGATATTGCACAATGGAAGAGTTTCGCCGGTGGACTAACCGACCGTACCTCAACATCGAGACCAGTCGTGGAGGCAGGACTACTGCGCGAACTATTAAAATGAAAATTATGCTTGGCTTGAGGTTGATAAATGTGATGACTGCTGGTCGAACCGCTCATTTTCATTTTGATAATGCTACTGCCGCCACCACCCTCATTATTTTCGGCATTCTCCTCCTCGGTGCCCATGGCACAGTGTGACGAGGACGAGTCGCCATTGTTGCCAACGGCTGAGCCGCCGTTTTCATCATTAACACTATTATCACATAACTTAATATTTTCAATGCCGCAACGTGCCTCCTGCAGTATGAGTGGCGTTGTCGAACGATACATGTGGCTACGATTCGGCTTGAAAGCCTCCAAAGGCGGTGATGTGCGAAAGTTGACAGGCGTTAAAATCGGTTCCAAGAAATTTCGTAACTGCAATAGACAAATTTAAAAAAATCAAATTATTATGCTAATCACAAGGAACCACATGTAAATACTCACATCGTCATCGGAACTGTGTGCCAGTGATCGTTTACGATTCTCTACTAATGTTGAACTGGACCTTTTTAAGGCCGCTGCTTCTCCCTGCAACTCATCGGGATCCAATGATGATGTCCCACGTTCTGATATCAGTGATGATGTGCCACGCACCGTTAATACATTACTGGCGGCATGGGCCGCTTCAGCCGCCGCTACAGATGAGGGTCCATTAATAACTTCAAGTTCTTCTTCGGAACTGTGCTGATCGTACTGAAGGTGGGATTTACACATCATCGCAGAAGATTCTGATGAACAAATTGTATCGGTCGGAGAGTTTGCATCGGTGCAGGAACTAAAACCTAAAGGGAAGTAGAAGGGGAAAGAAGAAATTTAATAATTAATCCGATTAAATTCGATAAAAGTAATTAACTATAAGGACATCGTAGGAATGAGGGAAAACAATTTTGAGGACATCGTAAGAATATGGGGAAATAATTGTATATGAAATTTTAATATTTTCTTTCCCTTTTTCTTCTTATATAGTTTTGATACCCGTGGTACTGGAGTAAGACGAGAGAGATCCAATGTTACTTTTGAGGTTTTACTAAGAATTCGCCTGTTTGTCTATGTATTATTGTAAACAAGGTATAGATCGCATTTATGATCGGAATGAGATGAAATTTTTGTCACAGCTCATTTATTTGGCCCAACGACTCTACTGAAATTAGTTTTCATTAAAATTGTGCCTCAAGGTTTGTCTGATCGAAACGAATAACGTACGGAATTAAGACTGGAATTAATTGTATTAAGAATTGTTGAAATCGGTACAGATGTATATAAAGATCCCACATAAATGTTCGCCCGATTTCTATAAATGGTGCACCAAATAAATCCAATTGATAAACAATTGAAATTAAAGCCCAAAAACTCCTCTCTCCCTTGTCCGAACTATGTCTTCCAGTAGCAAAAAATTCCATAATGGGTCTTCTAATTGATTTATCAAAACAGTCGTGTTGATTCTTTTGTCTCTGGTTATATTTGCTACTTTTAGAGAGACTATAAAATCCTGTGTTTGGTCCATTTCTTTGTAAGGTCCGTCGATAACTGTACAGGTCGCAAATCACAAATTATATAAGGACAGACACACATGGCATAATTAATTCAGCTAGTTGATTGGTATGCTAAAAAATTGGATCAAGGACCAATATTTCATTGTGTTACAAACTTATGGGTCGACAGAAAGCTATAATATATTAAAAGTATTTTTTTTCGAGGACCAACAGACCAATAATCGTTTTTTTAATTAACCGGCTTAAGAACAATAAAGCAGAAGATGCTGATGCCGATTACCAGACGAACTATTCAAGACCGGTGGTCAGATGCTGGTCAGGAGCATGCATCAGCTGATTAGTACAATTTGGCTAGATGAATGGATGTCCAATGATTGGAACCTTAGAATCCTGTGTCCCGTGCACAAAAAATGTGACTAAACGATAGGTGCAAACAATTAGAAATTAGTCTACTTCCCATCGCATATAAAGTGCTATCCAGCGTGCTGTGTGAACGACTAAAGCCAATGGTCAATAACATTATTGCACCATACCAATTCGGCTTTAGACCTGGCAAATCCACCATTGAACAGATTTTCACTCTGCGCCAATCCTGGCGAATACATTCCATCAATTCGTCGACTATAAAGCCGCATTCGACAGCCCTATCCGTTCAGAGGTGTTTAAAGCCAAGTCTGCGTTCGGCATTCCTGCAAAATTAATATGGCTATGCAGGATAACTTTAACTAGCACAAGGTCAGCAGTTAAAGTCGGAAAGGACCTCTCGGAGCCCTTTAATACCGAACGAGGTTTTAGACAAGGTGACAGTTTGTGGTGGATCTGGGAAAGGCAAACGGGACGCAAAGGTGGACAGAAATGTCACCCTGTACACCAAACAGGGTGACATTCTGTCCTACGCTGATAACTTCGCCTACGCTGATGACATCGATATGATGGATCGAACATTGCGAGCGGTAACAACCACCTTTGAACAAATTGAGAAGGAGTCTGCCAAAGAGTGACTGGCAGTAAATGGCGACAAGTCCAAGCTGATGGTATCAACGCTCAAGACGTCCAGTAGACTTGGATCAACTGTGGATCTTGAGAACTACAGTTTCGAGGTAGTTAAAGATTTTATATATCTTGGTACCGCCATAAATAAAACTAATAACATCAACTTTGAACTCCGGAGGATAATAGTGTTGGCCAACAGATGCTACTATGGGCATAGTAAGCAACTCAAAAGCAAGACCATCTCTCGTCAGACCAAACTCACACTCTACAAGACGCTGATATTATCCGTGCTGTTGTATGGATCTGAAGCATGGATACTTGCGCAAGCAGATGTGGCAGCTCTTTGAAGTGTTTGAGAGAAAAATTCTCCGGAAGATCTATGAGCCGATCTGCGTCGACGGTGAATATCGCCGTCGATTGAACCATGAGCTATACCATCTATTCTCGAACATCGACATAGTCAGACGTATCGAGCTGCAGCAACTACGGTGGCTAGACCATGTTGTGCGAATGAATGATGAGATGCGCACAAGACCGACGCGATTCGAAATCTTTATTGAACAAATGTTCTGTCACAAGCCATCTAAGTAAATATTTTGTGGATTTTTTAAAATGATTTTTTCAAGGGCTTGTAGACCAAGAAGCGTGGATTGTTTGAACAAATTTTTAAAAGGACCATTAGACCAAGAAGCGTGGATTTTTTATATGTATTTTTTCAAGGTCCAGAAAACAAGAAGCGTCGATTTTTTTAAACGTATTTTTTCAAGGTCTAGAAGACAGGAAGCGTCGATTTTTTAAACGTATTTTTTAAGGACCTTAGACCAAGAAGCCTGGATTTTTAAATGATTCTTAAGGACCAGTAGACCAAGTAGCTTGGATTTTTAAACGTATTTTTTCCAGGGACGAAAAACGTGGGGTTTTAAACTAATTTTTAAAGTACCAGTAGACCAAGCAGAGTGGATTTTAAGGACCAGTAGATTAAGACGTGTGGATTTTTTTAATGTATTTTTTTCAAGGACCAGTAGACCAAGTAGCTTGGATTTTTTAAACGCATTTTTTCAAGGGCAAGTAGATCAAAGAGCTTGGATTTTTTAAATTTATTTTTCCAGGGCCCTTAGACCAGTAATTGCCCATTTTTCAAATGTATTTTTCAAGGACCAGTAGACCAGGAAGCCTTGGATTTTTTAACGTATTTTTTCAAGGACCAGTAGACCAGGAAGCCTTGGAATTTTTAACGTATTTTTCCAAGGGCGAGTAGAACAAGAAGGTTGGATTTTTTAACGATTTTTAAGGACCAGTAGACTACAAAGCGTTTAAAAAATCGACGCATTTTTTCAAGAGGATCTATTTGACTTTATAAAATGAAAATTTGAACAAAGTTTGACATATAGTGCGGACTATGTGAATTTTGGGTCCAGGATTTGGGTACTTTAACCTTCATAATTGCTTACTTACTAGTTTCCATATCCAACTCTAAGTGATGTTGATGATGTTTTGTATCCACATCTAAGATATCGCCATCAGATTCAGTACCCGAGTCATTTGATTCGCCCTGGAAGAGAATAAAACAAAATAACACACCGGTTAATATAAAATATAGACGCAAAAATTCAATAAAATAGGAATATATACACTAGTGATGAAAATGAGGGGGGGTTATGGAGGTGGGTATACAAATCTATTCAATTTTGTTAATAAAACACAACCTTTTTCTTGAAAAAATTCTTAGCCGATTTGTATGAGGAAGAGTATGACAAGATGGTAGAAAGCGACTCCTGTTGTGACGAAATTAATTGTTGGTCCTGGTTCTGGTGGTGGTGTAGTTTTTGTTGTTGTGGCTGATTATGCTGCTGCTTATGTTTAACAAACTTTATCATTATTGGCCAACGTTGGAAAAGAATTTTTTTATTAAATGAATGGATTTTTTGTTTTCCGGTTAGAGAGAGAGACAAACCTTTTTTTAATTTCTTTTTCGTTTAGGATTTTCTTTCAAATGTTGTTGTGGTTATGATTTTTAGAAAAAAATTATATTTTTAAGGATATTTTACAAATGAAAATCCTGTATTTTTTTCTTCTTAAATACACATCCTGGAAAAAGCCAGACACTTTTGTCTATGACAATTTCTTGTATCTCTATTTCGGCTTTTTCGCTTTTGCTGCTTCTTCTTTGTCGTCGTTTTTTGGTTGATAGGTTGGTTGGTTGGCTGGCTGGCAGGCAGCTTGGTTGGTTGGATTATAATGACGATGATGTTGTGTTGATGATGAGGGCGATAACGATGATACTGATGACGATTAAGAAGAAGAAGAGCTGAAGTAGGAATTAAAGCCCAATACCGGGAGTAAATGTTGCCGACGATGTCCAATTGCCGATAGTAGTAACGGGCAATACGACACAGCGAGTAACAACAAAAACAGAGTACGACGTTGAGTGAGTATTCTCGTAGTATTTTTGTTGCTGCTGCTGTTGTTGTTGCTTACGCTCTCTCATCCACAATGAATTGTCATCATTGTGTGGGCATCATAAATTAATCCACTGACACCTTGTGCTCTCACTCTCTCTCTCTCTCTCTCTATCTCGTTAACAGTCTCTTCTAGTGGAACTCTCAGTGTGAATAATGATTGGGCTATCTCTCTATTAGATTTTCACTCTCAATGTTAAAAATGCCTATGTCTCTCTCCCCTTTTTATCTCTCTCCCAAGAGTGCAAAGTAAAACTAACAAGTGATGTTTGTGGTGACAGTAGTAGTGATGATGTTTGCTGGCTGCTGTAATGGTGATGAATGACAAAGAGGTGCAAAAATCCTTTAATGCACCTCTCTTCTGCAGAATGGGCCAAGAGGATAACAATTTCTCTCCCAAACAGGAAAAAAATATATATGATAAAACTCACACGCACTCTCCCACACGCAGAGGCGACGACACAAGGGCAGCTAAAGGAACACCAATACACAGTAATTGGATATTCAGTGGCAGCACCAGCAGCAGGAGGAACAAATCTTAAAAATACTAAACCGAGGCGGTTTAAAACTAACGAAGCGAATGAGATATACTACGACGACATGTTTTTTCTTCACTTTATTTTCACAGCAATTTTTTCGACAATGTTTACCGCCGACGTATCGGGTTGTATGTTAGGATAGGTGTGTGTGTGTGTAACTATGCGATTATTGCAGATTGCTGTTGCTGCCGTCACTAATTGCTGTTGTTGCTGGTGGTGTACTTGGTTGTCGTAGAACCTCTCGTCCTCTCGTATTTTGTGTTGTTGAATGCAAGCAGCAGGCTGAATGGCTGACTGACTGGCTGGAAGGCAGCCTCAGATCACCTTTACCGTAAGATACAGTACTGAATTATCGATTTTCTTTTTACTTGGCAGTCAAAATTCTACAACAACACAAACAACAAAAAACGAAATGAAACGAAATTTTCCGTTTTAATTCACTGTAATCCGCATAAATCCATTACTAAATCGAATTCGGCTACACTTACAAATTTGGCAAATTTTTAAGAAGTTTTAGGCAGCAGATTTTATTTGCAGACATTTTTTTTTTTGGTTTCCAGTTGGACGAATTTTTTGTATTTTTATTGTATTATTATCATGGGTATCGATACCGCCGTGACATATTCGCCAGCGAACACATAAATTTATATTAGCCGAACTACTTTAAAATTCATAATTTTATTTATTTTTTCTTTGGAAAAATCCTTTTCTGATATTCTTTTAGTTGTATCCACACACAATTTTTCTTTCCTGTTTCTTTGCCTTTTTTCCTTCTTCTTCTTTTTTTTTGTTCGCTTGTCTAAAAATACTACTAAACTTCGCCTGTCACCGGCAAACGTTTCACACAAACTAATGACACTCTCTCTCGGTGAAATATTTCACACGACACGACCGTGAGTAACACAGCAACACAACGTCTCAATCACCAACAGAATGGGCAGGAGCAGTAGCAGCAATGCTAACTAAATACACACGTGTCGGAGATGGCACACAGGCATTGCAATTTTAAAAGTGTACCAAAGGCTTCTATAACACTTGAGGTCCAGGAGACCAATAAGGTTGGATTTTTCAAACCTGCAGCAGACCAATAAGTGTGATTTTTTTAAACATATTTTTTCAAGGACCAGTAGAACAATAGGCGTGGATTTTTTACACATATTTTTTCAACGACCAGTAGACCTGTAAGCGTGGTTTTTTTAAACATTTTTTTTTTTTGCAAGGACCTGCAGACCAAGAAGCTTGGATTTTTTGAACGTATTTTTTCAAGGACTTGCAGACCAAGAAGCATGGATTTTTAAACGAATTTTTTTCAAGAACTAGCAGACCAATTAACGTAGATTTTTTTAATCGTATTTTTTGAGGTCCAGTGGACCAATTAACGTGGATTTTTTTAATCGTATTTTTTGAGGTGCAGTAGACCAATTTACGTATATTTTTTGGAGGACCAGCATACCAATAAGCGGGGATTTTTTAAACGTATTGTTTCAAGGGCCTTCAGACCAATTAGCGTATATCTCTTAAAAATATTTTTTTTAAGGTCCAGCGGGCCAATAAACGAAGATTTCTTAAATATTTTTACGATTTTTTAAAATATTTTTCCGACCAGAAGCGTGAATTTTTTAAGCGTTTTTTCACAAGACCAGCGGACCAGGTTATTCTTAAATTAAGCCATACCAGCTTCGTTCACGAGTTGCTTTATTGGCGCCCAGCGTGGGGCCTGTTTTAGTTAATATTTTTCAAGAAGCTGGTCTGGATTTCCTAAACGAATTTGTTAAGGACCGTGGATACACGTTTTGTTACAGTACCACCCTGGTCCTATCCCAATTTCCGGATTCCTGGAGGGTTTTGCAATTCCTTGCAGGTAAATTTCGATATCGGTTCATTTTTTGATAAAGCGCTGAATATAAAAGTCTCGGCGCCCGTAGATATTTTGAAGGTTGGCATTTCCCACCATGGCTGTTTTAATTTGACACTCCGGATTTATCTTGCATAAAAATTTATCTTAACAGTCGATTTTAAATATAACTCATGTTTTTACATATCCCCTTTTTTTTGATAAATATGCGTACATATTTTAAAATATTTCTTGAAGAACCATCTGAACCATAATTTGGATCTTTTAAGGGCCATCCGATTTATAAGTAAAACATTCAAGAATATTCCGAATCAATACTGAGAATTTTTATGACTATTTTTTTTTAAGAATATTTTTTCAAGACTCATCGGACTCATACGAGAGAATTTTTTAAGAATATATAAAAAAAAAAACATAAGACTCTTTAAAATTTTAAGAATTTAGCTTGAAGAACCATCCGGCCCATAAACATGAATGTTTTAAGAATATTCTTCAAAGCTCTTTCGATCTATTCATAGTTTTGTTTTTTTAAATATTTTTCGGAGATCAATCCGATTGTTATACCCTACACAACCATGTTGCAAAGACATAAAAGTATAAAGATAGGACAATTGATACGTAAACAATTTCCAACAAATTTTCCTCTGTTGTTACGATATCGTAACAACAGAGAGAACAATATTAAACGTTGCTAATGCTATATCTTAAGCTTATTAAATAAAAAAATATTTTTTGAGTGCAGATCTCTGATTTTATTTGCATTTTATACGCACATTATCGCGTATTGGCGTTTTTATTGTTAACATGCCTCTGTTACACCTGATTCCCCCTGGATATTTTATTATAAACTATTTTGTCAAAATGCATTTTGTCGAGTCTTTACGGTTTCTATGTCTTTGTATGTTGTCAGGATATTATAGCTTTGTGCAGCCCCAAGAGTTTGTAACGCCGCGAAATATTGGTCCTAGACCCACCTTTAAGTGTACCGATTATCATATCTCGACTAGCTGAGTCGATCTAGACATGTGTGTCCGTCCGTCCATTATAATTTGTAAACATGATACAGGCCACAGTTATGGACCAGTCTTCACAAAATTGTATGTGGGATGGGTTCTGGCCAATGAAGACCCCTATTGAAAATAATCTTTTAATATTTAGGGGATGAAATGGATCAAAAAGTTTATTTTTGTCGGTTTTTCTGGTCGCTACAGAGGCCGCAATTATGAAGGATCGGGCCAAAGCGAGTCAAATGGACTCTGAGTGGTTGGCCTTTAAATTGATACCAATTATATGTTCGTATGTACTCGGATGTGGGAGTTAAACTTAAATATTTATATGTACTTACGTATTCAGAAATAAAAAAAAATCACTTTAAAATTGTCCAAGAGGTTCCAGTTATGGTGATGATGAACCGAAAACTTAATTATTTGTGTTTTTTTTTTCAAGACGATCTATAGGCCACAAGCCGAACATCACAACAAAACCCACGTTGAAGGCAATCTGGAAGAAGGGCTGTACTGAATATTGGGAATATTCGGAAAATATGTGAGTGTAAGGAAGATGTGCTGTTGATCTCTAATCGGTCAAGAGGTTAGAGTTCCGTGGTAGTTGTGTAGGGCATCGTATCGTCGGCCCCGTCAGACTATACTGCTCCGCTCACTGGTTTTTGGATATTTTTTATTCAATTTTTTAAGAATAT